TAATATATTTCCGTATTATATTTTATAGTACTTGTTGTTTTAATATTGTTAACAACAGAGAGAACAAAGATATTTTTGAAAAACCATAACAGCATGCATATGTTCTAGCGAAAGGAAACTTGATAAATATTCATTTTGCTTAATTTCTACTTTGGAAAACATAGTTGGCGCTCTGAAAGCTTGACGCTGTATTATGCATATTTCGCACACGATTAAGAAAATAATGTAATTCATTTATTTATACGAAATACAACTGCATCAATCCTAAATCAACCGACTAAGTACATAGTTTGTTGAATGTTATTTCGTGAATACACAAATTGCATAACACTTTCCCTGAGGACAAACCCAAATGGCCCGTCCCTTTGTGACAGGTGTTAATTAGAGAATGTATTGCCACATTATGTCCCGGCACTTTTATGACATGTAATGAACCTAGTCAGTCCCTGGATCTGTAACAACATTGGTCTTATACAATCAAAGTAGCATAAATGTTACGTAATTCGTATTCAAAATTTGACTGAAAAAATATAACATAAATATAATTGCCCTTTTGGGGATAATATAATGTTGGGAAAATATACTTAATAGTACATGATTAAAGAATTTCAGAATCAACTGTTTCTTGTATTTATGACCAACTTCACACAAACTGAATATTTAAACATATGTTTATAAAGCTATAATTACATGCATGACACCTACATTATCATGAAATAATAATGTTAGTCATGTTTGTTAATTTGTATATTTCGTTGTTATTGGTATCCTGAGGATGTTGTAATTATACACGTGTTTTGATCTTATTTGACATATAATACATGAACTGGCTGAGTGACTTTCGTCCATCAGTGTGAAAGGATTTCCCACACATAAACCCTAAATCCTTTGTCAAACAGAAAGAAGTCATATAGATATCATATCTTACTGGTACTAAACGTTCACTATCAATCTCCTCTGATAACAAACTGTTACATTTAATATCCCCAAGCACCAATACCCAGTATGCTCATGAAGTAATTATCAGAAACCCGAATAATATCCTGTCTACATGGTCACACCGGTGATTGTTAAGACATTCAGACGATATGGCAGACTGTATTCATTTCTTATATCCCAAAAGTCCCCACCAAACTTCCTATATACAAATTGTATTAAATAATACATATATACATTAAAACAGAACAAAAACGATTGGTCAACAGTTTGGTGCGGTCGATTGAAAGGTGTTCAATTACTAAGAAAAGCTATTTAACTGTTTAATACTTAATACGTGTCTTAAAATATGAATTCTTAAGTTATAACATTAGTGCAAATTCACCCGAACGTAGGATGTACATGGACTGATTTCAAAATAGCTAAATTGACAAATTGTTTCCCATAAACCACTGAATATAAACTCACTTAGCCTTTAGAATAGAAAGGTGAATCGTTTCTTAATATATTGTCTTTTAAGCCGATTGAAGTTTAAATCACCACAACCGAGTCCGAGGCGATAAAGGATTAAGTGACAAAATCTTGTATCATGTCTTAACTGTATATAAGTGACACTGTCCAAGTTTAATAACCCTCTATATCAGATGACTGTTCCAATTATAAATGGTATCAGGTAGGAATAACTTGGCATAGCATTCTGTTCTACAACATATAGCCTGTATATTGGTTTGATTTCTATAAATGTAATTACTAACAGCAAAGATGTTTTCCATCTTGTAAAAAGGTGTAATGGCTGTGTTAGTTTCTCTATATATTTTCTCGTGGCCTGTACCCCTTATCGCCCCACACATAGTCCGTATAGTCGGTATTGAGTGAGTGAGTTAAAATTTAACGTCTCATCTGCATTATTTCAGCGTCCGAAATGAATCTAAGGGTAAACATTCTAGGATTAATTCTTGTTCTTGGTACAATTATCCCAAATATGGGCATTATATGCTTGTTCATAACTTCTAGCGATTTATGAGAAAGGAGTTATTTAACTGAGTGAGTGAGTATGGTTCACGGCGGTGGACACCAGAAAGGTATCTAAGACTTCTAAGGCAATTAATCATAGGGCTTTCCTTTTTAACTCTATCGTCAAAATCAGAATCTGACTGAAATATTATTCCCAAAGTCATAAATATTAATTCCTTTCATTTTAAGATTAGGATTTGCACTTTGGAAGACTTTAATTTAACGTGAAATAGAAAAGTTTCTGTTTTCTCTGGACTCAATTTTAATTGCTTTCATCCATTTGGTAATTTTCTCCAAATCGGCATTAATATTTTACGCAGTAGTATTTGGAATTGTCCATTTGTGGAATTGTCTGGACCCCACCGAAAACACCAATTCCAATGTAAATAATATGTACAATAGTTTGTTGGCTCGACATGCAAGACTCCATAATTTTAGTTATAATGTAAAAGTCATAGTGATATTAAATTATATTTAAAACAAATCATTAATGTATTTGACATGGATAACGAAGCGACACACATTGTATTTTATAAAAATGCACAATTTTGAATGCTTTAAACTTGTTGCATTAAACAAATACTTGATTTGATGTTGTCATATAGTGAATTAATATGTGTCTAGTCTTCCAAATGTTCTATTGCGAACACGTATAGTGTTAGTGCTCATGATCGCCATATCTATGAATGAATGTAAATATCATCATTAATAAACTCACCTGAGCTCACTGTGTGTTCTGAAGACGAATCGTTGTTAGGCATCCTGCACGGCTTCGTTCACGTTCACCCTCAAATGTACGATAGAAATCTGCGATTGTGCGTGTTCAATGTCCGAAAGCATTTTTGCGACAGGCGTTCGTTTATTTATAAAATTCCACTAATTCATAAATCACATTGAGTTGCTCACCTCTTCTCCAGTTGCTCACACTCTCAACTGATGTAACTGCCTTGATTAACTGGATTCCGAATGTAACTAATTACAAACTCTGTTCTAATTATGCTAATCGTGGAAGTGCATTATACTGGATGACAAACTTAGTAATTCTTTCACACTAATGATCCTTGTTTACAATGAACGCATGTCAATTGACTAAACAAACAGCCTTAAGTAGAAGTATCACAATGGACGGTGTGTACAACTGTTTGTCAAACAATATCAACCAATATTTTATATTTAGAATCACCATTACATGAAATCACAGAAACATATATATTAAATTTTACTTTGAAAACTCCAGAACTAATGTCGTGAACGTAATATAATAGGAATTTATTCCAACAAAGTGTTTCCTATATATATGTTTCCTTGTACAATTTTAAATTCATGGATTTTTTTATCTATTATTGTGCAATGATTGTGACAATCGCTAAAAGGCTACCCTCTTGCTATTCCGTTTATTGGTTATTCTAGTTTAGACAGCGACAGCCTCTCGTTATACAAACAGTGCTTTTCTAACCCCGATTAATTTAAGACAGCGTCAGTCATTCGCTATACAAACAGTGTTTTTTCTAACCCCGATTTAGATAAGACAGCGGCAGCCTTTCCCCATACAAACAGTGCTTTTTTAACCCTGACCTAGTTAAGACAGCGACAGCCTTTCGTTAAACAAACAGTGCTTTTCTAACCCCAATTAAGTTTATACAGCGGCAGCCTTTCGTTACACAAACAGTGCTTTTCTAACCCCGACCTAGTTAAAACAGCGGCAGCCTTTCGTTATACAAACAGTGTTTTTTTGTAACCGCGATCTAATTAAGACAGCGGTATTATTTACATTATCCGTTACTAAAATCTCCACAAATGTTCTATTTCTTATGTAAAATACTGTCAACATAAAGAAATACAAATTATTTCATAACACTCCAAATATAGTTGCCATAATGAAACTAGAATTAACGTATTATTGTCACGTGCAATAATACTGTTCGCTAACATTAGTTATATTTTCAAACATCAAAAATACCTCTTATGGGCTCAAAAAACTCAATGAAGCAGTGGTAAAATCTATCCATATATACAAAATTGTATAGTTTTGGATATACCAACTATACAAACTTGTATATTTTGGAAATACCAAATTTTCCAATGCGTTGTCTCATGCCTGGACTTGCATCTACTGAACACTACTCCTGCTTCGTTTTCCCAAACTCTGCACAAGATGATAAACCTGAAGGCTTGGGTGACAGTGGCAGATGCAGTGACGAAATGCATTTTACTGTATTGGAGAAAAATAATGAATTTGTTAATGACAATATTGAAGCAATTGCAAATAAGTGCTTTACATTGACACCTCAAAGTAAGTCAATATGATCAGCAATTATAGCATATGACATAGGCAATACTTATCTTATATATGACAATGACACGATAGTGTTCCTGGTCGAAAACTATATTTTGACATTTAAATTTCTCATACATGCAGAAATGAAGACGAAATATTGTCATTATGCTGTACTGGCGGCCATCTTGGAGGCCATTTTGTCCGCCATATTGGATAAATCAAATTTTTCTAGCTAAGATACTTAAATGCTGCATGTGTTCAAATAAAACAATTTGGTGTACAAAAATGTTAGTGTTATTAAAGTAATCTTTTCGATATGCAATTATCTATTTGGTTTTTATTAATAATGGGGGCTGGGATCACATGTTACTAAATTTTCATTAATATTATTATACCTACATTAATTGTGGATTTTTTATAAGCCCCTAAAGCATTCAGGCAAAATTTTGAGATTATGGAATCCCAATATACATGGGAATTCGGGAAATTAAAAAACATTGTAAGGGTGGTGGTTAACTTTTTTCAGGTGTATACATAGAAACATTATTACATTCATAAGTTAAAAGACACGTGTTAGACTTTTATAATTTGATGTCGTGAAGAAATAGTGTCTGTATAGTATAGTACGTCCGTATATGACAAGAATAATGTTGCCATTTTATCAACGACATTAGCGTGAAAACATAATCAGACGTGTGACTTAAATGTTTTTTTCTGAAAATGTGTTTATCTTGAACCAATAAATGTACATAATATCTGATTTTCATTTTAGATCTCTTGAGAAAAGTATGGAAAACGTTACAGTTTGAGGTTAAAACCTTTGATGACCTCAAGAAACAGGAAATGGAAGAAAAGCTGCAGGAGCTGGCCAGGCTGGACGTTCACAAGGACAATGACTGTGTTGTGGTTTTCTTCTTGACGCATGGGGACAACGGGACAGTACAGGGATCAGATAACGAGTGGTTGACAATCGACAGTATCATATCTCCGTTCAAAGCTGCAAACTGTCCTTTACTGGCTGGCAAACCAAAGTTATTCTTCTTTCAGTCATGCAGAGGAAAGCAAGATCAAAAAGGTGTAATTTTACTAAGACCAGTATATAAATGATATATGCTATTTGAACAAGTATAATTAAAAACTTCTGTTTTGATTCAAGTTAGCGTACGTTTGCGACTGTGCGTCTCTTGCAAATTGTATGACACATTTTGTCTCATACTTTAAAAAACAATAACTTGTGTACATGACATTTGGCATCTCTGTCTGTTCCAGTTCAGTTCAACGTAGATGGTGGTAAAACTCCAGTCCCTACCGAAATCAAAGTTGAGATTGACAAGATGGCTTTAACCGAGGGCGATTTTTTCTTCGGTTTTCCCACAGTGGCGGGGACAAAGGCTCGCAGAAACGAGGAGAATGGCTCATGGTTTATTCAAGAGCTCGTCCAAACACTTCAGGAATCAGCAGATAGGTAATTATGAAGTTATATGTTTATCAATTTGTGTATTCATCTTCACCGTTCTCAAACACAACATCTCAGTGAAGCCATCTTTTATTTACTCAAAAACTCAAAACATGAAGTCATCACATTACATGATCCATACAGGTAATAGGTCCTTATTCAGGAAAATCATATCACACCGATTGGTGATGTAAACATAGCAAGAGTACACTACAATCAACACCTATGACATCCTATCATCATTCCCAGGTAGTCTCTAAGACGGCAATTAAAGAGGACAATAAAGCAGTATCTATATTCATACTATTTTTTTTACTTATCCTGCATTACTCCTTAATGCATTCACTGCTCACCTTATGACAAAAGATGGGAGAGCGTAACGGCGATGGTCCTGGGTGAAGAAATGTAAACTTGTTCGTAGTCCCACTATCGGTGACCACCGCCGCTATCTGACCTGATGTCACCTCTTCACATCACTGCCTTTCCCGCTACAGCATGGACGTGTACCAGCGGAGCTCTCGTTTTGGTTTAATTTAGACCTTCAGTTTTCGTCGACAATTCTAAAATTCCTCTGCGACGGGTGATGTATTCTTTTCATATTACTCTTACCATGTTGTGACGTTGTATATAATTTATTTAGGCGTAAAAAGAATCTGTCTTTTTTCTCGCCAAGTGCTGTTTGTTTACCGCAATTTTGAATTGTGTTACAATTGTTTGCCTGCCAAGGAAGTCAAACTGTTTACAATTCTCAGCAACGTATGTATAACATATTTATGTGTTCTTTAATACTACTAGCTTTGGCATTACATTGAGTTGCTTATATACAAATTGTTGAATACACTTTCAGCTTGTTACAATATTTTGCCGATAGGCGAATAAAATTCTACGGCAGTCTTCCCGTCCCTCTTCATCAAAAAGTCTTTATTTGCGTAACTTATGCTTGAGCGTTGTACTAATTGTCAAATCTGCCAAAGATCCTCATCCACGTTGTCTGGCATGCACGCAAATTTGTCCACCAAATTCTAAATGTGTCTTTCATAAATATCACTCCAACAAGTTTTACAATTTATGGCAGCTCACTCAAAAACGTATTTTGTATGAATACCGTCGTGAGACCAGGAAGATGTCGCAATTGCTGAATAGCAAGGAACATGGTTCGGTCATCACTACGCAACCATTATCTTTGGCCGAAATATGTCGGCCGTGCTAAAGTGCATGCTCCACTGAAAACATCATTCCAGAGAATTTTGTAAGTATCATAACTGACCCTAATTTTCAGATCTGATAGATCTGCGACGTCTGCGCCAGCATCTCACTAAGCTTTAATGTGGGTAGCGCAAACCAAAGCCATGCTTCAGTCAACACCATTGAGCATTACGTCTCAGCCCCTGCCTCCTACCCAAGTGCATCTACAATGACATCAGTCCTAGGGCTATCAGTGTACAATGTTAGCGCTGTACCTACATATCCAGTGCAGCAGATGCCCGCTTAGGCGTCAACACTGATACAGATCACTAATTGGATGCAAAATGTTCTGCAGACCATGTGGCAGCAGTTCATGAAGCAATTGTATCCTGCTCCCACGCCTGCGCCTATGTATCAGAAACCTGCCTCAGTTACATCTACAGCACAGGTATAGGCACCTACTCCGGCACGTAACGTATAAAATACACTTATTGTGCGTCATAATACTTGTCTCCTTCTCCTATGACTCCTATTCGCCAGGCAGTTCATCTAAGCCTTCGGTCATAGGTAGCACTATACATCGGAGAAGAAGTCATTCACCATCTAGACGCACACAACGTCATCATTGTTGTGATTCTTCAGACTATTCTAATGGTGAAGAGGGTTATTCCTCAACAGAATGGAATATTCATCTTGGCCTGGCACAAGTACCTTATTGGGTAGCGGACTGCCTCATTTCAGTGCTTTCCCCGGGTAACAGGATGGATAAAAAAGACACAATATGGACACATCCTACGTCGATTCCGGTCGACCCTATGATGACAGATATGATTAGATCTTTGGATGAGGACTTCTCCAGGCTGACGCTTACACCGTCATTATAGCCACCCAAGTTTAGGAAAGATGAATTTCCTATCCATGCGTTTGAGATAGCAGACCAGGCTCATAGTTTGGATGAGGATATACAGAGAATGACAGACTCGTCAAGGCCTACTACTCTTAAGGTTAAGGATACCAGAGTTGCGTTTATTGAAACAGAAATTCGACGGGTATTAAAACCTCTATCAGCACTAGCATCGTCAACACGTGCGGTAAGGAAGGATCTGTCAGAGGATAAACCTAACAGACTAGATCATCTCAATCTACGTCATCCTTGGTCTACCACGTCTCTGTTCAATGAACGGATTACGGACACGAACGTAAAGGTTTCCAGTTATCCTAGGAATGAGACGGCATTCAAGGCTTTGGAGCACTTTTCTCACAGTTTGTCCCAGCGATCCGGCAAGTCAGGCAGTTATAGGATTAGACGCGAGTCTCACAAGGAAGGCCAGGTGCAGAATTCCTTTCATGGTAGAGGGCAAGGCAGAGGGAAACCTCAAGGTACTTACCAGTCCTGGCAGGGTAAATTCCACAGTAGGGCAGGTGATAAGAGGGGTAAAGTTGGTAAACACTGATATGTTGGCCAGTCACGACTGGGAAATACCACCCCAAGTCGTCCCAATTGTCGATACCCCCGTAGTCGGGAGATCAATTTTGGAAGAATTGGTGCATCTTCAAGGACGATTACGTTCTCAACGTACTACGTCACGGTTACGAACTAGACGTAGAGGTATTTCCACCATTGACCACGGCTCCACTTGGTATTATCAAAGAAAGCAACATCTGCCAACATAGACCTTCTGTTGGTAAAGAGAGCCGTATATATATTGTACACACACCAGCGTTAACACCGGGTTTTTACTCCAAAATCTTCCTAAATGTTCTGAGCGACAGATGGCACAAGATCTTACGCATCCCGTCACCTGCTATTCATCAATCACGCACACTTCGCCAATGGCAAGTGTTGCTGGGGTTACTCACCTCAGCACAGGATCTAACCAGCAGAAGCCAATTACAATTACACACAATTCAACAATTCCTGAATCCTTACACCAGGTGTCAGGATCCACTTAAGGCCATCACTCTACCGGCCAAATTAAGGCCGTACCTCAATTGGTGGATGGTAGAGTCAAATGTCTCAGGAGGAGTCCCTTTATCTGGGTTATCCCCAAATCTACACCTGTTCGTAGACGCCCCTCTTCAGGGTAGGGGTGCTCACCTGCAAGGCCAGACAGCCTCAGTGCTATGGTCCAGCACTCGTCAAAAGTGGAATAGAAACAACTTGGAGTTGGAAGCTTTAATTCTAGCCAATATCCACAGACAACAGCACTGGTGTGGTGCCTGCGCAATCAGTGAACCATGCACTCCCACTCTTGGGAAGGGCTAAAAGCATACGCTTTTCCGCCACCAGTGTTACTTCCTAGGGTAATACAAAAGATCAAGGAGACAAGGGCCCTTGCTCTGACTTTGGTCGCAGCCTGTTGGCCGATGAGAGGGTGGTTCGTCGAGCTCAGAGGACAATCCACTCCCCCAACTTACTTATCCACCCTCACAGCAATTTGCCTCATCCAACACCAGACAGGTTTCGTGTTCATGCTTGGTTCATCTTAAAAATATGTTAAGTGCGAAGGGCTATTCAGCACGAGCAGCAAAAGCTATAACGTTAGGTCATCATCCCTCTATAAGATGACAAGTGGGGATCGTTTGAAACTTTTTGCAAGGTGAAAAGTCAAGACCCTACAAATGTGTCAAAACAATTCCCAGCTGAATACCTCCTACAATTGGATACCCACAGACACTTGAAAGGTACCACCATTACTACGTACTCAGTTGCAACCTAACTCGCAAAATCCCAAGATGACTAAGGTCCCGGAACTAAAGGCTCTACTATGCTAATTCAGTATAGGGGATCAGAAGGCCAAGTTCTGCCGACCTGCTTGGGACTTGAACGTTGTGCTTCGAGGTTTGCGAGGCCCCCCTTCAAACCCCTCTATGCATCCTCATTTTATGACCTACGAACTACATGTGATCGACATCACCCGGGTTCGCTTTGAGCATTGGACGCTTGGAGCGGTACATCTCGGGTTGTGCTGGCCAGGCCAACCCGATCGTTCCTTCACAATCCCACAAATATATCGACTATTGTAGGAGGCGAAGATGAGGGTGAACCACTACTTTGTTCGGTGCGGGCACCGCGAATTTTTATCCGCCGTTCCAAGACTAAACATGGTTCAAGGAAGCTGTTATTTAGACCTGTATCACCTGCGTCCATGACTGAAGTTAGTCGCAACACCATATCTCTATGGTTAATAGCAGTCATCCTTAAGGCTTATGCGATCACCAATCTGAATCCATCATGGGTGAATAATCCTCACGAGATCCGGACACTAGCCTCTACCATGGTTTAACACAGTAATTGTTCTATTAAAACATGGAAGGATTTTTTGTAGGTTCGACAGTTTTCTCTAGTCATTATCTGAGAGATGTGACTCTCGAGGACGTCGAAGGTATACAAAGTTTTGGGCCGTTGGTCGTACCCCAGTCAGGACCCAAATAATGAACTCGCCCCATACAGAGCCATTCCATTTTCCTGAGCAGTCACTCAGGTTTTGTTGGTGGAAATATATTAGAGAATTGGTTGTCTACAAGGGCTCTATGACGTATTAAGTAAAGGTTTAGCTGGTGAGCTAGTTTTGTCTTTATTTCTTGGGCTACTCTTTAATTCCTGTGTTCAAGTGTTTTCATATTGAAATAACCTGACCGTAATTGTCAATCTGTACTTTTGTGACACTTTTACAGTGTTGAATAAATCTCTCTAACACTCGTTGTCTCGGTGTCTTTCTATTCCCATCATTTTTCCTCTGCATTTACATAACCGGAGACCCGTGAAGATTGCAGGGTAGAATAGGTCTTCAGCAACCCATACTTGCCGTAAAAAGGTGACT